ATCCGCGCACATGCAGTGTGGTGCGGGTGATGACTCCACACCCCGACACTGTCGCGCCGCAGACGTCGCTGGTGGATGCGTTGAAGCGCATGTACGAGCGGCACTACCTGAATCTGCCGGTGGTGGCCGAGGACTCGGGCGAGATCCTGGGGCTGGTGGATGTGCTGCGGCTGTGCTACGCGACGCTGGAGCAGATGAAGTCCATCCAGGGCGCCAACGCCGACGACCCGGCGGGCCAGGGCGGCCCGATGTGGTCGCGGTTCTTCAGCGGCAACCTGCCGGCAGAGCTGGGCGGCGCTGGCTCGACGCTCAGCGACTCGATGCATCCGTCGCAGACCGCGTACTCGCACACGGCGCCGTCGTTTGTCGACGGCACTGCGCGGCTCGCGTCGGAGATCTACCCGAACGAGTCGGCATCGATGATTGAGGACATTCACTCAGCCGTCAACTCACGCGTGGGCGAGCAGGACCCGTATGCGTTCCAGTACCAGCAGGACCCGAACTACGCGCAGGCCCAGTATGCGGCGTTCAACCAGCAGATGCTGATGCAGCAGCAGGCGCAGCAGCAGATGATGCAAATGCCGCAGGCCTACTCGAACCTGGGCAGCACCGCCGTGTTCAGCCAGCCGGGCATGCCAACTGCGTCGCATACGGGCTCGGGCTCGATGCTGCAGTCGCAGGCTCAGTTCTCGAATGCCCCCGAGGGCCACTACGTGTTCAAGCTCAAGACCCCGTCGGGCAAGACCCACCGCTTCACTGCCCCGGCCAACGACCTGGACTTTGTGCGTGTCACATGCGTCAAGAGGCTCTTGTCCGAGGGTGTGACTGACGCGCAGGCGCTGGTCGACGAGTCGGGGCTGGCATACGTCGACGACGAGGACGACTTTGTGCATATCACCAGCGCTGCTGATCTGGCCGACGCCATTGATCTGGCGAACCGCGAAGGCAAGGGCCGCGTGCTGCTGCAGATCAACCCGCGTGCGCTGGCCTACCAGACCGCCGCAACCAAGGAGCCCGCCGAGCTTCCTGTGCAGGAGCTGGGTCCGCTGGGCATCCCCGAGAAGTACCTGGTGCCTACGGCCGTCGGCGGCGGTTTTGTGACTGCGCTGTTCTGCGTGTGGCTGGCCATGAAGCTGTCCAAGAACTAGGTCTTTTGCTTTCTTTTGTTTTCATGTTATTGAGAAGTCCCCTTTCTAGAAGTCAAGAGATGCTACGCCAGGTACATACGAGGGACCCTGTATAGAGTACACTGTTCGTTAGAGCCTCCGGGCTCGCCGCGTGTCGGCCGAGCGGACTGCGTTCTGGCACGTGCAGCAGACAAGGAAGGCCGCGTAGATACCGGCTGCTACAAAGCATGCGTGTCCGACCGCCTTGGGGTCCGCTGGGTCCTCTGTCGAGCTCGTCAGCTCGTGCACCTCGGCCTTGAACAGCGCTCCCAAGATGAGCAGAAAGATAATTCCAAACACCGACAGAATCTGGCACGTCGTAGCGCAACCGGGCGAAATGAAAGCGAGCTGCATGATTGAAAGACGAAAATAGTGCGAATTAGAAGAGATTGGGCGGAGAAGTAAATGCAAAGGAGGGAGGAAAGGAACATATGAGCCGGTCAAGGCCTGTTGCTGCATCACCGTGGGTGCCCACTAATCAACAGTGTCAAAGCCCTGGCAAAATTTTTCAAAGTGCCACACACCTGCGTGCGCTTTAATTTTCGGGTCCAGCCAGCCAGTCCAGCTGACGCGAGCTCCGTTCGTGTTTGGTTTACTTTGTCCCTCTTCTCTCTTGACCACCAGCATTTGTTTCCTTTCCAAATTAATCGGGGCCTAACCTTATTACATTCTACACACTTTTTGCACTCCATGGACGGCTCAATAAGACACGCAGCCGCCAAACACCGGCACCGCCCCTACACACGCAATCGGCATTCGCTGACTGACCAGGCAATTAGACTATACCAGCGTATCAGCCGGCCCTTCCTCACCCGCCGCCCCTTGCTAGGCTCCGACACCGACGCATTCAGCGTTCCCTGGCACACCGAGGAGCGCGAGATCGCCGAGCTCAGAGAGGAGCTGCGGGAAGCCCAGCAGGCGGCCAAGGCATTTGATGCTCGCCAGACGTCCGTATCTGAGCCGTTCGAGGCTGTGTTTGACACTGCTCGGAGGCTTGCCGAAGAGCGGTCTGTGCCGAGCCTCAAGGGCAAGGAGCCGGAGGTTGGCTCTGGTGAAGAGCCCGCGGACCGTGATGCCTGGCAGCAAGGGCGTATATGTGAATGAACAGGCGGTTGTTGCTGCTGGCTATGAGGATGGCGAAGATCTGGAGGACATTGACTATGTGCCGGATGATGAAACCGATGAAGAGGAGGAGGAGTTGCTGCAAGATATTGAACCGATCGATGAGGCTGAGGAAGTGACTGTAGCGGATGCGAGAGGCAGTGGATCGCAGGCTAGCAAGCCGGCTCCTGAAGTCGTTCTTAGTCCACCGGAGCCGCCGAAACATGAGGCTGTTAGCGCGACTAGCGAGTCTGGAGAGGATGAGTCTGAGGAGGACAGGCCTGAAGAGAGTGAGGAAAACGAGGACACACCTGTCAGCGATAATGCTAGTCAGTCTGAGCCTGAGGCTATTGCCGAAGCCATTGCTGAAGAGGCTGCTGAGGTTTCTGCTCCCGAAGAGGCCTCCGAGCAGGCTTCTGAAGAGGATATCGAGGCTGAGCCGGCGTCCGAGGATGGTACCGATTCTGATCAAGTCCATGTCGAGGTTATAATCGAGTCTGACAGTGGCGACAGCGCTGACGAAGATGCCGATGAGAACATCGATGATAGCATTGACGAAGGCGTCGCCGAGCCCATATATGGGGATACCAATGCTGCGGATTCGGACCAGGTGGCTGAAGAAGTGATTGCTGCTGATTCGGATTCGCCCCAGCAACCCAGCGACGGCGAGGAGACTGACGTGATTGAGGGTGATTCAGAGTCCGCCGATGACGACCAGTCTCACCAGCCGCATGATGAGAACTGAGCACATTCAGCCAGGGTCTAGACCGATACAGTGGTCACTTCTTAAGAGCGTGTCGTCGTTCCTTGGTCAGCTTGCTGCATCCGCGCCCAGTTACGCACAGCAACAGCAGCACTACAGCAACAGCAGCAGCAGCAAGAAGCGCATTGAGGATGGGCAGTATGACAGCGATAAGGCGGTTGAGACTGAGGCTGATAGTGAGCAATCTGAGGAAGATGCCGCTGCCTACGGCGAGGAGCCCACTGAAGAATTGTCTGCGGAAGAACCCTATGAGCAGAGGCACGACCGCAGCAGCGAGGTCCGCGAATCGATGATTTGCGTCCCTCAAGCGCCAGCTCAGCGAGGCTTCTGAGCCACAGTTACCCAAGCGCAGCTACCAACCATCTACCGTTGGTGCAGCAGAACCAGAAGCAGAGCTGACCGAGCGGCACCCTTCAGAAGAATCCCGGCCGTTCCCGCACGTTCCGCGCACATTTTTAGACTTGACGAGGCCGCTTACGCCTTTCTCGAAGCGGTTTAGGGCAGCCGGCCAAGACAAACCCATCCAGGGCCACACATCAGTGCCTATGGTCGCCTACCAAGCCAGCGCCAGCACCAGCAGTCAAAGTCAATGTCAGACCAGGTCTTGTCCAATGCGGACCCATCTACTAACACGACGATCACTGCTGCGTCGCTTGGCCTGGGACCACTGGGGGGCTCGGCCCGCGCACACTGCACACGCCTGCCCAAGAAGACAAAGGCGTACTACGGATCGGGATACGGCTCGCGTAGTCTGCCATACGTGTTCCGCGCAGTCACGTCAGCGCACCTGCAGTTGCCACAGCTGGATCACGCAGCTCAACTGCAGTGACAGGGGATCCTGATGGCCCAGCAGCGTATCTGAGCCCAAGGGCAGTATCACAGCACGGAAGATTCCTTGATATCATCAGCGAGATACCGCCAGCACGGTCACAGGCAGCTCTGGAGTCGCGGGGCATGCCTAACCCGTACGAGATCGTTGCCTCACACCCTGGGCTGATCCGGAACACGAGTGCACAGCGTCAGGCGGGTGCTGGATTCCTGCCAGTGCCCGTTTGCCGGAGCTTGCACGAGAAGTCCTCCAGCAATGCAGCAAGGCAGCAAGGCAGACGTCGCTTTTGGAGTCGATTCAGTCAGCTGCCCCGCCCGAGATCCAGTCGCTGATCGCCAAGGCCAAGGAGGATATGCCACCGGTGGCTTCAAAGCCGGATACTGAGAGCAAAAAGACAGAGGCTTCTAGCCTGGCCCCGCTGGTTGCTCCTGCACCGGTCAAGGAGAAGTCAGCCAAGGCTACTGTGTTGCCATCTAAGGCTGAGAAGCCAGCAAAGCCATGAGAAGTCAGCGTTGCCTGCCTTTGCACCAGAAACCAAGAAGGCGCAGGATCTGGCAGCTTGCCCCAGCAAAGGATGCCTGTGGTTCAGCCGCAGATCGCCATCGGCCGTTACCACGAGGCCTCAACCAGTGACAGGTGCGGGCACTGACGGCCGACCAGTCACAGTTGCCGCAGTTCTCGTTTACACTCCAAGTACCGGAGTTGGCCAAGACCCCAGTGAAGCGCAAGATCTCCCAGATGGACGCGTCTGAGCTCCCGGCCTTTGATTTCACTCTAGGAGCAAAGCGGCGAAGCGGTTGACCCGCCAAAGTCTACGGCAGCCACTGCCACGCCACCTGTGCAGGACCCTTGGAACCAGCCCGCAGCAGCGAAGAGCAACCAGTGGAAGTGCTCCATCTGCGACTGCGTGAGTCCCGATTCGGCAGACAAATGCATTGTCTGCTGAGGGACCAAAGCCCACATCTGCCTCCTGCTGCGAAGACCTTGCCTGCTTCTGTTGAGAGCCCGGTGCAGGATCTCTGGAGCCAGCCTGCAGACAGTGAAGAGCGGTCAGTGGAAGTGCAGTGTTTGTGACCTGCTGAGTCCCGACTCTGCCGACAAATGTACTGTCTGTGAGGCTCCGAAGCCCGGACCAACTCCAGTTGCTCCTACTCCTGCTCCCGCTCCGGACTGCCCCGATAAACGATGTGTGGAAGCAGCCTGTGGTGAAGAGTGGTGAGTGGGTTTGCTCGCTGTGCAGTCTCAAGAGCCCGGACTCTGCTGACAAATGCATCGTCTGCGAGGCTCCGAAGCCTGGATCAGCACCAGTTGCTCCTACTCCTACTCCCGCTCCGACTGCCCCTGACAAATGATGTGTGGAAGCAGCCTGCGGTGAAGAGTGGTGAGTGGGTTTGCTCGCTGTGCAGTCTCAAGAGCCCCGGACTCTGCTGACAAATGCATCGTCTGCGAAGCACCAAAACCCAGATTAGCTCCAACTGTGCCAGCTGCTAGCACCACTGTCCAGCCATCGGCCGGTTGGGGACAGCCCTCGCTCGGGACTGACGAGTGGAAATGCCCCATCTGCGACTGCAAAAGTCCTACATCGTCAAACAAGTGCATTGTGTGCGAGGCACCAAAGCCAGCGCCTGCTCCGGTTGCTCCGACGAACGACATCTGGAAGCAGACTGCAGTAGTGAAGACCGGCCAGTGGAAGTGCAGTGTGTGCGATCTCCTGAGTCCAGACTCGGCTGACAAGTGCACTGTCTGTGAAGCGCCTAGGCCCGGATCCAAGCCCGTCCAGCCCCTAGCCGCACCCGTGCCGGCTTCTTCATCCAAGAGCTTCTGGGGGCAGCCAGTGCTCAAAGCCGACGAGTGGAAGTGCCCGACATGTAGCTGCACAAGCCCAAAGTCTGCCAGCAAGTGTGTTGTGTGCGAGGCCCCGAATCCCGCAGCGGCAGCGGAAAAGCCGCCGGTGTCCATCAGGGACCGCGTCAAGACCTTTGAGGCAGCCAAATTGCCGCTCGTTTAGCTTCGACCTGGACGTCAAGAGTAAGCCGACGCCGCCATTCCTGTCGAGCGGCTTTGGGTCACCCGCAAGCACCGACTCGGGCAACGCTTTCCAGTCGGCGGCACTGGTGGATGGCGAGTGGAAATGCGCGCTGTGCGGGCTCAAGAAGCCCCAGGGATACAGTAGAGTGCACGGTGTGCGGCACAGCAAAAAAATGAGGACCTCACCATACATGCTCCTCCCACGCCGCACTGTTTTTACGTTGTTGCTTTCATGTCCGATGTTTGGGAAATACAGTTGTTCCTTTTTCGCCTTCCAGGAGCGTAGAATGGCGATTGGTGCTCATTTGGGGAGCGCCACGGACACGCATGTACCTCAACCGCCAAAGAGTGCAAATGCGGCATGGCTGGGCCTGCTGCCCGCCAACACCATCGGAGATGTGCGCCGGGAATTGCCAGAGGGACGTGGGCGTGGAGGAGTGTTCGCGCAGCCAAGGCGCCTAGGTTCAATTAGGTAATCTGATCCTGGGTAGGGTGCTGCCGAGCTGTACAGTCGGCATTAGGCCGGTGGTAATTGGAGAGGGTGGTGGAAAGACATTAGCTTACAGGCGTTTGGGTTTTTTTAAATTTCCTCTTGCCGGGCGATTTTTCTGTCCCTCTCTCCATTGCGCTATCTCAGCTTTATTCGTACCTCAGCACTTTTCTCTCTTTGCCGTGCTCCTCATTTTTCTATAACCGCTGTGCACCGATTCCCCCACCACTCTACCTTCCTGTTCTGGACTCTTGCATCGAAAACCGCACGGGTAGAGGGCTTGGTTCCATATTTCCTTTTACCGGCGACCAGGGTCTAGCTTTTCTTTTTATAGCACACCATCTTGCGGGATACAGGCACGGCCTCATTCACAGAACCGCCTTTTACACAGCTACGCACTGCGCATTCACAGACACGGGCTTTGGCATTTAGACATGAGTGGCTCACACCAGGCCTGGGTACTGTCGATGACGTCTGGGGTTGCGTCGGCGCTGGGTGGTACGTACTTTATTGTCTGCGAGCCATTTGGTTTTTGAGGGTGGAGCAGGAGCTGGGGTTGTGCCACCAGGGTGAAGGGCGATCTGGCTGCGTCCTATCGTCCCTCAATCACCATCTGCTCCGAAAAGGGCACATGACAGTAACGTGTGTACCCGACGCATTATTAATCCCTCCAATTTATGTAGCAGCGACGCTGTACTTGGACCCATTGCTGCACAAGCTCGGTATACCAGAGCACGTAAACATACTGGAGTCGCACACGGTTCTGTCGGCACTGCTAGCAGGGGCGTCAGGAATCATGGCGTACACGAGCATCAGCTCACTGACCGGCGAATCGATCGACTACCTGACGCAGTACAAGGGGTGGCCGATTGCCCAGCAGTACCCGGGCGCAGTATCGGCGGTGTTGTTTTTGCTGGGCGCGCACCTGAACCTGCTTCTGGTGAAGGCCGTAGCGTATGTAACGCCGAGTGACTCGCCGATCAAGCACTCGTGTGCATCTCACTCGCCCAACGAGGAGGAGCTTCAGGTTGGCGCATCGCACGGCAGAGATCCATCGACAGGAAACACGAGCACTCGCAGTCTGGTGGGAACGCCAGCAGGTATAGACGAGCGGCAGCCGCTACTGAGCAGTATCGCCAGCGTACAGCCGAGTCCGCTAGTCAACCGATTTGTGACGCCAATGGACAGCATGAGCAACTTTGACGGCGATATTACAGCCATGGCAGCAACCGACCGGGACGACAGTTCGCCTGAGGTTGTGCTGCGACACCACCATCGTTGCGACTGCCATTGTGCGTCCGAGTGTCCTGACTTGTACATCCCTGGGCGCAACGGCGAGTGCGAGTATGCATGCACCAAGAGGGATTGCTACCAGTTTGAGCATTGTCACATCACGCCACTGTACCCACATCCGCATACGCATGGCGTCGAGAACAACGGCATTGAGCAGCTTGCCCACGGTGGGCACTGCTACAGCCCGGTAATCAATGAGAACCCGGGCAAGAGCGCCGACCACCACAACCATAGCCATGTATGTGGCAAGTCGACCACAGCAGCCGGCAGCGTCCATAGCAGTGTGCATATCGACGAGGTTGACGAGCACCATGCTCATCATCATCATCATCACCACCACCACCACAATGATGATGATGAGCATGAGACTGAGGGTGACAGCAGGACAGCGGCCGAAATCAGCACTCAACACCACAGACTGCTACTGCATGTCGGCCTGCAGACCGCTGTAGCGATTGCGCTGCACAAGATCCCTGAGGGACTGATTATCTACATGTCTCGACGCGCATCACCCAAGCTGGGCGTGTCAGTAGCGGCGTCACTGTTCTTCCATAACCTTCCCGAGGGTCTGATGCTGGCGTTGCCGCTGTTCCTGGCCACGGGCCGACGGACGCAGGCATTCCTGGTGTCGTCACTGATGGGCGCAGTACCGCCATTTATTGGAGCCACAATCGGGTGGTTCATTGTCGACGATGTGCTGGACGACGGGGCAAGTCTCGCAGGCGTGTTTGGCGTGGCATTTGGTATCATCGCAGGCATGATGAGCATGGTGGCTCTCAACGGAATGCTCCCGACTGCGCGGATCTACGACAAATCCGGGAATGTTGTTGCATGGTGGTTCGCGTTTGGCATCGCGGCGATGCTGTTTGCTAACTCGACCCTTAAATGATAACTAAGAGTTCCGCGCTGGTAGATGATAATATATTCTGCTGAGACTTGAGGCTTTTTGTTGCTGCGACTTGCGAGGTGGGATAGTAGCGGCCTGCTTGTCCCGACACCATCGACAATGTGCAGCTTATTGAGTCGTTTGGATGCCTCCCAGCTTGCGCTGTCGTGACCGCTGTCATGTGCTGCCTTTTTAGTGGCGATGGCATTTCTCTCGTGTAACACCCAGCAATAAAACTGTTGCAATTGTCGTTGACTATTGTCTTTAGGTGGGTGTTTATCAGCGCTGAGCACCACCTGGCTGCTTTTGCAGCGTTCGTCTGGATACCACTTGCAGACTCTAGTCGCCAGAGGGCTCAACAGAATGCCCCTCAAGCAGCTTGACTGGGCGACCTGACACCGAACTCCCAGGCCGTACGGTTGAGGTATAGCGGCAGATATGTCTGAGCAGCTGTGGTTGTATGGCGAATGCACCATGCCGAGTAGGCGATGGCCACTGGTCTTCTGGGGACTCTGCACGTTGACCCAGGGAGTCAGCGTAGCCAATACAATAGCATGGCCCCCACCAAGAGTGGGCCAGTGTGCCCGGTATGAATCAGGGAATTTGATCGTCCTGCCATGTGGTGAGGTGCTGCCTATCCATAGAGGAGCTGGCCAACAGGCACATCCCGGCGCCTCCCTGCCTCTGCTCAGTTTCCTCGCACATTGGATTTATTTACGCACAAAAGCAAATGACTCTTGGGAGTACCCGCAAGCGCTTCAGCACCATCCTGCGGCGCAAAGAGCGCCTGCCTCTCTCGGCAGTCATCGACAACTCGACGCGTGCCAGCAGCACCGACGGCTCCACAGCCCCATCCAATGCCCTGGCCCGGACCCAGATGGTTGGGTCGGCGACCTCCGAGGACATCTTTGTGGTCCGCATGACAGCGTGGAGGCGGCTGGTGAAGCTCTACGAAACATACTACCAGAGTATCGTCGCAGCCGAAAAGGCCGCGGCAAAGAACCTTGAAAAGGCACTGGGCGAATTTGCCGTTCCGCTGCAGGGCGAGCACTTTTTCCTGGGCGTCGAGCATCCGGGAGTGCAGAATATAGCCAGCCAGGTCAAGAGCGTGCACGGGAGCTTCATTGCGCAGCAGATGAATCTGGTGCAGACGGTGGAGACAGAGACAATCGAGGGGCTCGGCCAGCTGAGGACGGAAATCAAGGACAACATTAAGCTCTATGTTGACCACATGGCACCGCTGTACAAGCGGCTGAGGCGGCAGGTGAGGGAGGCAGAGCAGTATAAGGAGAAGCTGGCGCGCACCATCGACAACCTGCCAAAGGACATGGATGCATGGCTGGCCCAGCAGCAGGTAAGGCGCGAGCTGCGGTACCAGGCGGAATGCGAGAACGCACTGTTCCGCGGCGTCCAGGCCGAACACACGCGTCTGGTAAAGTGGGAGGCAGGATTGGCCGAGCGCCTGACGCGGCTGGTCACGACAACCATGCGCCAGCAGCGATCGGCGGCCACGGCCAATCAGCAGGTCCTGGACAAATTCCTTGGATACATGGACACGTTCGACGCAAAGCATGAGCTGGGGTCGTTTGAGACGCAGTTCGGCGCAGCACTCCGCAACCCGATGGGTCTGGATGGCACGTCGCATGCGAGCAAGTACGACTATATGTACAAGAACCACGAGTACACCGACGTGCTGCTGGAGGGCCCGCTGGAGCGCGAGAAGGGCGTTGTGAAGAAGTTCCACGCGCAGTACGCCGTCCTGACAAAGCTCGGGTTTCTGCACTGCTTTGCCGACCAGCTGCTCCTGCTGGAGACAGATCCCGAGGCGTCGTTCTTTTTACGCGACTGCAATGTTGGCCCGCTGGACGACAACAACAACTTCACGCTGTTCTTGTCTGACAAGGTCGTGGGGCGGAGTAGGTATGTGTTCAGATCGCACGATCGCGAGGTGATTCGGCAATGGTGGAGCATTATTGACGCAATCATCCGAAGCGCGCCTAGCCCGAACAAGGACGGGACGATTGTGGGCGGGTCGCTACGAGACCCGGAGACCGCGGCTAGGGCCATTGCAATCTCTCACCCCAACACCATGCCGACAGCATCGGGGCTGACGGCCAGCGAGCTGGCGGCCCGCAACCTCGAGGAGGATAATGTCCGACGCAGCATGTCCCGCGATAGCCACTCTGCCGGCCATGTATTGCCGAGGGAGACCAGTGCTCCGCTCCCGCCGCCGCCGCCGCCACCACCCCGCACTGACTTGCCCAGTCCACAGGAGTTGGGCGAAAAGCCTGGGACCCGGTTCCTTGACCTGAACCATGATATTGATGAGCTGTCGCTGGACGATGTGAAACCCGCCAGCGTAATCATGTCGCCCGCCGAGCCTCAGCAGCAATTCTTTGCAAATTAATATTTCATTTGGGAGCATTTGGTATCTTGCAAGTATAAAATCACTCTACCAGCCACGCTTCTCGAGGCGCTCGTTATCGGCCAGCGAGTCGCAGTTGATGCCCACCATGGCCTCGCCGAGGTCCTCGGAGATCTCCGCCAGGACCTTGGCATCATTGAAGTGGGTGACGGCCTTGACGATAGCGCGGGCGCGCTTGGCCGGGTTGCCGCTCTTGAAGATGCCGGAGCCGACAAAGACACCGTCGCAGCCCAGCTGCATCATCAGGGCAGCATCGGCGGGGGTAGCAACACCACCGGCGGCAAAGTTGACCACGGGCAGACGGCCAAGGCGGGCAGTCTCCTTGAGCAGCTCGTGCGAGACACCGAGCTCCTTGGCGTAGTTGTACAGCTCCATCTTGGACAGCGACTGCGCGTGCCTGATCTGCTTGGTGACCGTGCGCATGTGCTTGACAGCCTGGACGACGTCGCCGGTGCCAGCCTCGCCCTTGGTGCGGATCATGGCGGCGCCCTCGGAGATGCGACGCAGGGCCTCGCCCAGGTTGCGGCAGCCGCAGACGAACGGCACCTTGAAGTCGTGCTTGTCGATGTGGTACGTGTCGTCGGCGGGCGTCAGCACCTCGCTCTCGTCGATGTAGTCGACGCCAACAGCCTCGATGATCTGGGCCTCAACAAAATGGCCGATGCGCACCTTGGCCATGACCGGGATTGTGACCGCGTCGATGATCTCCTTGATCATCTGCGGGTCCGACATGCGCGCGACGCCGCCGTCCTTGCGGATGTCGGCGGGCACGCGCTCCAGCGCCATCACGGCACAGGCGCCGGCCTCCTCGGCAATGCGGGCCTGCTCGGCGTTGACCACGTCCATGATCACTCCGCCCTTGAGCATCTGGGCCAGACCGGTCTTGACGCTGAACGATCCGGAGTCGTCGACAGTGCCGGCGGCGGGGCCGGTAAGGTTGGTAGCGGTCTTGAAATCGGACATGACTGTTTGATGATGCGGGTATTACCTGAAAGTAGCAGCTGATTCTGAACAGAAATAAAGAGAAAAGGAATGTGATCGGGGACTGGAGGTGCTTCTGGTATCTCCGCCCCCCGACCCACGCCTATATTTATACCTCCGCCGGAGGAGCACTGGAGGAAAAAAACTCTAGCCCGTCCCCAGGCATCTCAAAATCAGGCGAGGAGGATCAGGGGAGCGAGGCAATAGCACCACGCTGCGCTGAAGCTTACGGAAATCCTCCCGAGCAGCACCTTTTCGCCCAACTGGCCAGGAACTGTGAGGTTGCGTTCGCCCTTTTCACACTCTCGGGTAGTACCACAGGGTAGAATCCCCCATTACCAGCGATTGTTCTTTGGCGTGAGAAATAATGCCCGTGAGAGGCTGCGGCCAGCGGTTCCGACACCATTACTCAGCACGCATCCTGTTAGTTGCTCATCTGTCCTCTCTGCATGGTAGCGAGTCATATGACCGGCCCTAGCCACCCATGCTTCTTGTCCGCACTTCACCACGCTTGACTCGGTGCAACCGGTCAGCAGCGGCTGGGGACCGCCCTCCATTCCACTGAGCCAGCGTACACTCCCAATTACCGGCTACGGAATCACGGATCTGGGCTGTGCCAGCATGTATATACATGTCGCTCGTTGTTGCCAACTGAATCAATATATTGAACTGGACTATGTCCACACCCGAATATAGCCTTGCTAGTTGCGCCATGGCTTCTTGCGCATTATGCAACGCACGCTTGGGCTCATGTACATTGCAATGGCCAAAAGCAGCGGCACAGTGAAATAAAGTGCAATGGAGACATATTCAAGCCAGACGTAGGGTCTGCGTTGATGGTACCGAAGCGGTATATGGAAAGCAGAGAACCACGTAGCCGTGATCGGCGCAGTAGCACACCATATGGATTTCTTGACTGTTCGCTGCGGTATACTATCGCTCTGTCTGCCATGCATAGCCGGGACCCCGTACTTTAGCACATTCTGCCTCTCCACCAACTGCAATTCCTTTGCTATCCGTCGGATATGAAGTGAAGCTCCATAATGTTTACAGTCCCAACTGCGCCCAGCAAGAGCGCCTACAGCCCTAAACATAGCATCTTGATCTGATACGCTTTGCGTGAAGGAACTAGTGGAGTAGTACAAAAGTCGTTATTGAACTCTTTTAGCGGCACAAGTGCGACGTAGAGATTTGGACCGACGATGAATGCGGCGCTGGTCAGTATCAGCAGTATTCGCAGCCACGTTGTATACGGCGGAATATTGTGAATGGCGGTCAGCCGGAGAATAATCACAATATAGACACGAGTATATCGGAATGATAGTTGCCGCGTTGTTGGCTATGTGAAAGAACCGGCACAGGCCCTGGTCAGCCGTTCTGATATTGCTCATGACGACACGGAGAACAAACCGGACCCAAACCACGACCTAGGTAAGGAATAGTGCTCGGAATATAAAGCTCCTCTAGACGTCCCCCCGCGCGTATATGATTACGATACTAGCAGCAACCACTAGGAAGGTAAACAATGCGGCGAGCCCGCAGACTGTTGCCTCATATTCTTAGGCGATGTGGACGCGGTCCTAAAATATGTATCTGTGTTATCCCCCATGCATGCCAATGGCTTGATATAGAATATGCAAATGAAGGAAGTAACGGGAAAAGCCGCCAAATAGAAGAAAAAGCTGCCCATTCAAATATCCACGGCGGATTGTGCCTTCGGACAGCACCGGTGCTGTTTGCAAAACCCAATCCGTTCCTTCCATTTCTGGCGCCACCAAGCCGATGCATGGATCATGCAATGCTGTCTAGTCGTACCTCGCATTGGTGAAGAGCGCTAGAGGTTAGATGTACTTAATGAGTACTGCTATGAAACAAAGTCGGCTAAGGTCCCTGAGGAAAACAACGAGTTGACCCGTATTCTCAGTCCTATAGGGCTACGCTGGATATTGTTCTGTGGATCCCCACACTTTGACGCCTTCCATGATCTACGGTAGTCGCGTAAAAAGCCCATGACCATCGGATTGAAAAAGAACGCAACAGCCATGAAGATAGTCATCAGCGAAAAGAGAGATATGTTTATGTATTCGAGGTTGTAGTATGGCCGCTGTGAATAAAACCGAACGAATACCAGCGCGCTGTTAAACCAGAGGGACGCAACCGGGGTGATAGGAAACCACACTGCTGACTTCAATGTTTGGTTCAGCAGGTCAGCTGTGGACCGGCCGACGTCTTTCCTAGAATAAATACCAGGTACGCCTTCGTGGGTCATTATGTTACTGATGCGTCGGGCCCTGCGCGATGTCCTTCGTATATGGACTGCTACGATTGACATGCTCACAAAGCTGGCAATCCCTGCCAATAGAGCCCAGACCACAACTGTACCGATAATGACATGGTATAGTTGATCATTGACGACAAGCGGGAGGTCGCAAAAGCTCTCTAGGCCGACAGTCTTGCGTGGAATGGTTAGATACACGAATTGGGGACCAACCGAACACAGCACACAAATGGTAGCTAGGATTACTCGTGGCCGCCTCGCATGCGGCGAGAGGTTGTGGATGATGACCAACTCCAAATATATAACCATATAGGCGCACAAGTACACCACAAGATGTGAGCTCATGTTACTGAGTGTGAGCACTATTCGGCACCCGGCCTCGTTGTGCATAGTTACGCTGGTGAGGAGAGTGCGGGTGAGGAAGCGAATAAAATTCATAAACTGGATAACCAAGAGGCCGCGGAAGACGCTGTTTTTCCATACTCGCCGCTGTATATACACGACAGCCAGTCCAAACAAAAACACCACCAGGGATATCGCCGAGCATGTTACAAAAACAACGAAGGCGTACATTTGTAGTGCTGATGGATAGTCTCCAAACGTCCGAGTCTGTGGATCAGTTGAGCGATGCATACATTATGACAAACGTCAAGCGATAATAATAATAGAGTTGCTTCAATGGAAGAGGAGTGAAGTAGTGTCTGGAGCAAATAGTTTGGAACTTTATTCTGCTCGGCAGACTGTCTAACCATTTAGCCCCTGGCTGCAGAACAACACAGCCTGTTCCAGGTTCATATGCATTATGCATTGATCACTAATGTGCAGAATGATGGATGCATCAATGCACATTTGCATATTACAAAGCACGACTCAAGTGTATTCTGTCTGGCACTGAGAAATGAAAGGAAACTATTTACGAGCTGCGACCGAGTGTTGCCTGTGTAGAAAAGTCCGACCTAACCTCGAGTTCACTAGGTTTGCGCCTCTGAGCATGGTGTGATAGATCGCGCCTGGTCATACTCCACGACTTTCCATAGTCGCGAATAAAGTCTAGAACCAACGGGTTGACAAAAAAAGCGACGGCCATGAAGAATGGCATGAGTGAAAGCAGGGAGACATTTACGTACTCGAGATTGCGCATTGGCTTCTGGGTGTAATATCGGGCAATGATCAGCGCAGAATTGAACCATAGCGCTATTATTGGAGCTATTGGGAACCATACAACCGTCCGAAGCGCCCTGTTCAAAAGCACCGCTGTAGAGCGTCCATAAGCCAAGCTGCGGGTGGCGTAAGTATACTCGTCACTTGTCATGAATTTTCTGGTACATTTCAGGGTGCGGATAATGTGAATCGAGATTACTGCCATACTGGCTAGACTGACAATACCCGCAGCATAGGACCAGACTATGACAGTCGAGATGAGCAGGTAAAAGTACCCTGTGGTTGAATAAAACGGAATGCGGCAGAAACTCTCAGCCCTGCCTTGCTGGGCGAAATGAAAAGATAGACCACTTGTGGGCCAAAGGAGCAAAGCACGCATATTGCCATCAGCAGCACTCTTGGCCAGACCTTCGACGGCGAAAGGGAGTGTATGATTGTAAGCTGGAGATATACAACAATGTACATGCAAAGGTACATGGCAAATCCGACTGTACCGTTGTTTAGTGCAAGCAAAATCCGGCATCCGGTTTCGTTTGAAATATTAGCCCTGCTCAGAGAGAGTCGGAATATGAAACGCAGGCAGTTAACAATCTGGATAACCAACAGAATTCGAAACGTGACGTTCTTCCAGATACGCGGTCGTTTGTATACGATGAACAGGCCGATCACAAAGACCATGAATGATATGGATGCTGATGCAACGAAGATGCCAAGGACATAGTCTAGCAGACTCTGCGAATATCTCCCGAGGATGGGCGATGGTGCTGTGGATTGGCTATACATTCATCGCGTGTAGCAGTGGAGGCAGTCAAGATTGAAAAGGAGTAGATGAGGCGAAAGAGTCAATGGTGCAAACTGCAAGCTGAGCTGGTTATGCTGTGCCTTTGCAAAGTTTTTTTTTGCAAATCAGCGAATCTGTGCTACGCACTGTTGTGCTACACAGCGGTGTCAAGGTACATGAGCTTGTTAGTTGGTGCCCCACGCTTCCCTTGTATATTTATTGGGCAGTTTCGAGATAAGAGTCCAAAGCTACCAAAGTGCCTGTCTTACTGGTGGGCTGGAAGGCAGAAACAGACGAAATGCTGATTGTCAGCTCCGCCGGATTACGGCGCAGTCTACCCTGAATACATTCGCGCCTAGACAGACTCCACGATTTCCTGTAATCGTGCAAAAACTCGATGACCATGGGATTGAAGAAGAATGCCGCAGCCATAAAGATCGTCATCAGCGAAAACAGGGATATGTTGATGAACTCCAGTGGGATGTAGGCTTTCTGTGTGAAGTGGCGAGTGATGATCATTGCACTGTTGAACCACAGTGACATAATGGGCGTAATTGGGAACCATACAACAGTTCGTAGCGTTCTGTTCAGCAGCGCAGCTGTAGTGTAAACCCGGTGCTGTCCTCCGGCGCCATACGAATGATCGATCTTGTCCATGAACTCCTCTGTTTGTCTCGAGGTGCGAAAAATGTGAATGCTTATCACCAACATGCTAATTATACAAATAACACCCGCAGCAAATACCCAGACGATGATGGTGCCAATAAGGACATGCAGCAGCCGGGTACTGGGAATAAATGGGATTGCACAAAAGCTATCTATCCCCGCGTTGTGCTGAGATATAATAAGGAGGACTAGATGCGGGCCGTAAGAAAACAGCACGCAGCCAGTCATCAGCAGTATGCGCGGCCATGTTTTATATGGCGAAAGATTGTGGATAATAGTAAGCTGGAGGTATACAATGATGTATACGCAGAGATACATGACGAGCTCTGCCGTGCCGTTGTTTAAGAACATCAAAATCCGACACATTGACTCGTTGGTGATGTTTGCCTTAGTTAAGATAATGCGGATTATGAAGCGTAGGCTGTTTACAATCTGAATCAGCAGCAGCGTGCGGAACATGGTGTTTTTGGAGAGTTTTGGTCGCTTGTGCAGCATGAAAACGCCAGCAACAAAGACCACGAACGAGATGGAAGCGGACGCTATGTAGATAATAAGCGCGTATTCCCTCAAACTCCGCGTGTATTCTCTAAACACTGGCGTCGGGCTGCTGGCGTTGCGATACATTCATCGCTTTTAATAAAAAGTTAATATTTTCCGCAGATGGTTCAAGAACTAGAAAAGCTACCCAGGTTAGCGTGCCTCATGGGAAGTCTACAACTAGAGATCGTTTGACCCAAAAGTTACAATTCCAAGAAAATGGAGGTTTCTGCATGATAGTAGCCAAACGCCCCAACTGCACATCCATGCAATGCTCCCAAACATGCTCCTTTTTAGTTGGCATTGGCTGGCCGCATTGTAGAGCCCGGATACAAGTCATGGCCAGGTGAAACAAGTGTGCAACAGTAATGATTTATTGGGTATAGTAGAGATCAGCAAGAGACGGCTGGGAACTAAGCTCGAGCGACGAATACGAAGATAATGGGTGGATGCGGAAATTCAGTCCCACTGGATGCTGGTGCGGCTGTCCTACCGAGTGTTCACGCCTGGCTGATGATCGCAGTCGTCTGTAGTCACGCAGAAAGTCCATGACCATTGGGTTAAAGACAAATGCAGCGGCCATGAAGATCGTCATCAGCGAAAAGAGGGATAGGTTTATGTACTCGAGATTGAAGTAGGGGTGTGCTGTATAGTGACGGACAATGATTAGCGCCGAGTTAAACCACTGTGAAATGATAGGCGCGATTGGAAACCACACGACAGTTCGAAGTGTCCGATTCAACAATTCAGCGGTTGAGCGAGTGTGTTCCCTCCCATTGTTGCCGTATGTATACTGGTTATTTAGGATGATCTTTTTGGCCTGCCGTGAAGTCCGAATAATATGGATGGTTATGATAGTCATGCTGATTAGGCATACGATTCCTGCTAGTAGCGGCCACACGACGACTGATCCGATTAGAACGTGGAAAAAGCGCACGCTAGAGGTAAATGGGATGCTGCAAAAGCTGGTTAATCCAGCCGACCTGCGCGAAATGACAAGATATACTATCTGGGAGCCAAAAGAACATACCACGCAGAAAGTCATCAGTGCTACGCGTGGCCATGTTTTGTAGGGTGAAAGGTGGTTGATGATGGTGAGCTGAAGATAGACAGTGACATACATGCACAAGCAAATGTTCATATTGGCTACACCATTATTAAGCACAAACAATATCCGACACGCAGCTTCACTGGTAATAGGCGCGTAAGTTATAATCAGTCGGAAGACGAAGCGCAGACAATTTATGATCTGTATCGACAACAGCACACGAAACATGATGTTCTTCCATATCCATGGCCGCTTATAAACGATGAGCAGACCGAAAAGAAACATAATCAGGGATGTTGATGCCGATACGATGAATATTACAAGACCAAACACCTGTAGACCATGCGGGTACCCTTCAAGTATTGTCGGTGCTGAATGTGTTTGCTGCGACATTCATATTTTTGGATGACAATCAAAATACAGTGAAGTAGCAAAAAAGGTCGACAGAGGGCTGCAGAGGAAACATCTACTTTCCTTGTAGTCTGCTTGGATAATACCAGCATCTTAATGCATGAAATGCGGCAATGGACCTAGACCCTGCTTTCAAACCAAGAACTGCCAATTTCATGCCGCAGTGTAACGGTAATTACCATGGCTGCCAATGTTCGTCAATAGCTGTTTGCATAAGAATTGTAGATGCTATTGTAAATGCAGAATGCTAAGCTCAGCTGTAAACCATTTTAGTAGTCGGCTCAGGAGCATTTCTTGGGATACAAGGGTTTCCGAGCTTCAGTCTACTTCGGTCGGTGCCTTTCCAGTCGCTGGTTACGAAAATACTGTCGTACACAGGGATTCATTATCATTGCCAACGCATGAATAACCGCCATTAGTGCGAACAGCGCGATGTTGATAAACTCGAGTTCCTGATACTGTCTTCCAGTGTAGTACCGGACTATTGGCAATATCCCATTGAACCATGTCGATACGATAGGGGCAATCGGGAACCACACTACGGCTTTTATCGTTTTGCGCAGCAAATTGCTATTGCCATTGGTCTCAATAAGATGGGCCGTTCTACTGCCGAGCATCATGCATCGGGATACCCTTTTGATTCTGCGCGCCGTGTGGACCATGTATATCCCGGTAATGCTCATGCTGATGACCCCAATAACCCCGGGCAAAAAAATAAATATGTCGTATGTCACAATAATTATTATCAGTCGGCGCCATGTGGGGATCATGGGAATGTGGCAATAGTCCTGCAATCCCATCTGCCTGGGTGCAGGTACAAGTAGAGTG